ATCTTCATCATTGTATAATTCTCCAATTAAATATTGTGCTACAGCATCCCCTTGAAATGCCAATTGTTGATAACATTTCAAAGCTTGATCATAGTCTTTTTTGGTATTCAAACCATTATAATAAATAAAGCCTAGAATTTTTCTATATAGTATATTATCATGTAAACTTTGTAAAAATATAATTTTTTCAGAAAGTATTCGAGTTTTTTCTAAAATAATAGTGAAAAGTTTTTCTAAATTTGCTTTATAATTTTTATTATATTTGAAAATATTGTCAAAGAGAATCAATAAATCGTCCATTATAGTTTTCTTTTCTCTGTCAATTTTTTGCTGATTAATGGTTTGATTTTCAGCTGCTATTACTTGAACTGAATAAGTCCAATCCATTTGATCATTTACGACAGCGTCCCCTTCGCTTATTCTAAATCTTTTTTTCGACTCTTTCTTTACACTATCTTCGGTCGTCAATAGCGGTTGTGGATTCTCTTCACATTCTGCCTGTTGCTTTCTCTTATTCTTTGCTATTTTTTCAATTTTGTTAGTTAATAACTTTCTGTTATTAATTCCGGACATGTTTAAATTACATGTACGTACATGTATAAAGTACATGTATCGATATAACGATATATCGATAATGATAATAAAATTGTTACACGGTTTTCACATCACGTAATCAGAAAGAGTACAACATGTTCATTCATTTCCATCGTTTATTTTATTGTAAATATTATTTCAGTTTAGAGCAGCCTGAATCTATTTTTTTTTTGAAAACTTAAAATAATTTTTCCTAGGTTTAATACAAGGTTCTTTACTATACTTTTGCTGTGTCCCAAAATCTGTCTATGCAGATCTCCTTAATTAATCTTGTGTATGCAAAGGTTGAACGCTATCGCTATTGATCAAAAAGAATCTTTGAAATCGAATCTAACTGCTTTTCAGTTAGTGAAGACAGTCGTGAGCTTTCTTACGAGACCATATTAAATATATGCGCATCGTAAAAACGCATAAATGAACAAAAAGCTAGTTCTTATAAGTTGAATTTTTTATTATCATATACGATAGAGAAGTTTCTATGAATTAAATCTATTATTAAATCTATTGTAAAAATTTTGTCCGCGTCAACAGCTTGAAGAGCCAAATTTTCGGATCGGAAGAATTAAATTTACAATTGGTTTTCAATCCAAAAATCCTTTTTTTACCAGTTATTGGATATAACTTGAAACTTCGTTCCAAAAACCGCATAGTAGTGCCCGTTGATGGAAGTGGAGTATGAGATTGCATTCATATGATCCTCAGATTCTGTATAATTTTTATAATAATAGCTTTAAATCTCTTAGGTTACCGACACAGTAATAACAAAGACAATATTTAAATCATTACCAGTGAATGTCCATGCATTCAAACGTGAAATTTGAAAAATTAAATCTAGTATTTCAGTAAATAAAGTTCCATAAGAATAGTAAATTAGATCAAAATACAGAAAAGAAGAGCGTAAAATAATCCGCATGTGATATTTGTTATTTCGGTAAACGTTTGTTATACAGTCAGGACTCGATTTAATCGGTTTAATGAAATCGCGAGTCAACGATTCTTGTTCCCAGATCACTGTATTCAAGTCGTGCTCAATACATGCAATGCACCATATACATGTGCATGCAGTTATTGCTTATTATTCATCGACATCCCTTCTACGTGTTTTCACGAACGAATTGATAAATGAGACTAAACCAAAAGTACATGTAATCAATATGTAGATCGTTAACGTTAATAAATAACGATAACCAACCAATCATTTACTATTACGTATTTACTAACATCATATGGTGCGGCGCATCTATACTCATCAAGAAATTTAGCGTAATTCTTATTTCTATCTACTCCCCCAATATATAAAATTTTTAAAATTAGCACCGATAGAATAGTAGTTTAGGTCATGATCTTTCAATTCATCGGTTTAGTTTTTCCATTAAATGATTTTTGGCAGAGTTATTATTGTTTAAATTCGTGTGGTTTTATTAGTAAATTTATTAAATTCGGACAGGGTTCACGTGATAAAATCATTTTCAACCAATCAGCAATCGATCTATAATAATGTGACTTTGCATATTAACCAATCAGCGGTCATTTTTTCTCTCTGCTAACGACTCCGGTGTTCTGCTGGTTGCTGACTCACATTCATATATTGCCAACCTTTTTTCTCTCTTCCAATGTCCTACTAATTGCCAAACATATTCATATATTACCAACGCTTTCTCTCTTCTCCAGCAACTCTGGTATCTTGCCGGCTGCCAATGCTTTTTTTTCTCCAAACGATTTTGGTGTCTCGACTTGCTGTTACCGTAATAATGTTAAAATCTTACTTCCATAATCTTCACTTTTAATTTTTGCATGAAAATCTTGATCCAAATTCCTCTACATGAAAATCTTTCCAAAGTTAGTTTCTTGTACAACTCGTGTTAGCTAAATTTGGGGGAACACTAAAGCAAGGTAGTGGATTAAGATCGATCCAGATTAAGTCAATACAGATTAAAAAAATAAATTGGA